AGAATTCTGGGAGTTGAAGTCCACACATCTCCAAGGGGCCAAGGTTGAGAAACACTGGCCTAGGCTGATGCTAACAGAATTCTGGGAGTTGAAGTCCACACATCTCCAAGGGGCCAAGGTTGAGAAACACTGGCCTAGGCTGATGCTAACAGAATTCTGGGAGTTGAAGTCCACACATCTACAAGGGGCCAAGGTTGAGAAACACTGGCCTAGGCTGATGCTAACAGCAGAGGGTGGAACTCGAATGAGTCTCAGCCAGATTTCCCCACCCAGCAAATGCCAGAAGCATACGTTTTTGATAAGAAATGTCATTTTTTCCCCATGTCATTTTTAATGAACACCAGCTCCATGAACACAATTCTTCCTCATGCTCTTGTTTTTTTCCCCCCAACCAAAGACCTTATACTCACAGTGCAGTGGAAAAAAAAACACCTTTGGGAATAAGTGTGTGCACAATGCCGTTTCTCACCCTTCCCCATAATGCATTTTATCCAAGTTTCAGATTTTCTCTGACATAGTTAACTGAGCCATAGTTTACTTAATTATCACTTAAGTGCTGGGTTTGCATGACAGCACAAACTAACCACATCTGCTGGGTTCACACACACACACATACACATACACACACACACACAAAACCCAGAACCAAAATAAGTGTGGTTTATCAATAAGTCAGCAACACACATAAGGCAAAGTGTCTGCATCAAAGTTCGTGGACACTTTTAATATGAAATCATATGTGGTGCTTAGAAGTGATGCACCATATATTATTGTTACAAAAGTTTTTTTTCCGCAGTCATGCAAAAAGGAGCAGAGAAACATCATAACACAATCTTCACAACCTGGTGCTCCCAGACACATTGAACCAGGTTGAAACAGTATTAATTCATGTCAGCCTTCCTCAAATTGAGCAACTTCCAGATATATGAACTTCAGCTCCCAGAATTTCCTGAGCTGCATGGCAATTACTAACAATTTTGAGAACTGAAATCCAAAGATTTGAAAAGGATTGACCTCTGGTCTTGCTGTCTGTGGGATAAAAGGAGTTGAAGCTGGGTGAATTTGAGGATACCAAGCTTAGGAAGGCTGCCTTAAGATGTATTAAAAAAAAATAATCTACTGCTAGATGCATAAGTCCCATACAAAAATAGCCCAAGATATTTTTCAGCCTCACATAAAAGAAAATATGCCTGCCTTTCCTTTTAGCTTGAGTCTTACAATTGGATTGGTTGTTGCATCTTGAAAGTAGAGCAAAAGATAGGGCCTTTGTCATAGTGATGTTCTGACTGCGGCAATCTCCAAGTATCGTTGGACATCTGACATCTTTTTAACATTTAGCTAGGATATTAACACTTTCTATTCCATGTGACCTAGAAACGACTACAGTATAAATGGCGCTTTTTTTTTGTATTTTAAAAATCTATTTTGTTTCACTGTGAATAATCTTTTACTTTTTAAAAATGGTTTAAAAGTTTTAACTCTAGTTAGCTTTCAGGACCATTATATTTATAAGCAAATACATATAGCTTTATTCTGAACTGAGAGAAATGGACATGGGGCTGCTGCTTCCTTGAATATTGTTGCCACACTCTGACCAATGATTGAAGCTGGCTCTGGTCGCACCTTAACAAATCAGTCATTGGTTTGCAACATATTTGATTCAGGCATGTGATAAAATTTAAACAGCAGTCTGGGAATGATCAAATCATGGTTTACTTGCTTAGGAGCTCAACCATCTTGCCATTTGTGGCTTCTTAAAAGATTGCATTCTTTTGCAGCAGTGCTGTAAGATACAGCAGAGGTTCTGATAAAATTTAGGAATTGTTATTTACTTGACCTTGGCTGATCTTGAAAAGTTAAGCAGGATCAGACCTAGCTTGTGCTATGAGGAAAAATCACCAGAAAATCCCACACTGCTGGTTAGGGTGAAAATAAAAAACAACAACAACACACACACACATAATGGCAAATGACTTCTGTGTTGCATCAAGAACATGAGCTGGATGTAACTGTGAAATTACCAAGAGTTGACACCTTGATTTGAAGGAGGCCTTTTATATTTGACTACCCTTTTCTTCATAATAAGGGATTCTAAAATTAGTATCTTCTCCAGCCAGTAGCTATGGCTGAGCAATATAAAAAGTCTTATCTTCAGTTAGTCTGCAGAAGCAGAATGATTTTGGAGAGTAGGAGCTACATATGTGTTTCTGTGTGTGCATGTATGTATAACTACTCAGTGGAATATTTTTACTTAGTTGAATCATTAACTAAGAGATGATTTTAAAAATATAGTTTAAAAAAAATCACGTAAGCTGCACTTGTGGTAAAACATGGTTAGTCTCACACATTAAGAAGAATTGACTTTGCCTTAGTATAGAACTGTGAACTCAGTGATGGCTTAGTTTCCTATGGCTTCTTCTTCAAACTATTTTTTAAAAATCTTAACTTAATACAGTGTGGCTGGTTTTATATAGTATACTAAGCCAAGAAATGTGGGTGATAAGTTTCACAGTTGGATAATAAGCTCACTGTTAAATCATGATTATGTATTCCCTTTATCCTGGTTTTACAGCTTTCCATGTCTTTTGATCCTGAAATGGCCACCATTTTGGTTATCTGGAAGCCCCAAACGATAGCTATTTTGGGTTCAAACATACCATATACCATAAGTTTTGTTAAAGTGTCTGTGTACATACTTGTTAAGTGAGCCTTTTCAGTTTGGCATGTTAGGCACATACACTTTAATTGAAAGAAAAGTAGTAGCTTAATAGGAAGTAATAGAATAGGAGTCAGTAACCCTTTTCACTGTGATGACCCTTGTGCCTCCAAAAAAACCTACAACTGTCCAGAATATCACCTCAATAAGAGGAATGCTAAGATCTTGTATAGGAATCTAATTTGTCACTCTTGTAAGATTTCAGCCATTTACTTATAATTTTTTTAAAGTTTTGGAGGACCTGGACATTAATTTGGGATGCAACAAATATTGTAGCTCCTGTGAGGCACCTTGTTGCAAATCATTGCTCTGAACATGTGCATCAGTGACTTGCCTCACCAATTATGGTTGAAGCTTGCTGTCTTTATACCCAAGCTTCTCCATGCAGGTTCCAATTGATTATCATATTGTACCTCCCTGGAGACAAAGGGCTATCTTTGATCAAAGCAACTCTTGCTAGTCTCCTTGTGATATTGAGTCTGATTGAGTTCCCTTCTCACCAAAATGTAAAGCACAATGATTTCAGAGGGTCTCTAGAATCTTACAGTGTATTATTTAATGAAACTGGGTGAAATCCTAAACATACTGGCTGTTGTTTACTTTAATCAGGATTTAATCCAGGGTGGCCAACTTCTCCTGGGTTAAGAACCACAAAGTCTTCCAACTTGCCAGTGGCTGAAAAAAGGCCATCTGATCACCAGAAGGAGTATATGTTTTTAAATTCATTATGCTTGCAGTTGTAGTAAATCCTCAATTTAATGGACCATTTGGGGGGAAGGTACCCATTAAATACAAATCTACATAATGGGTGTAATTTGTGTCAATTTATATAGATTGAATTAATCAATTTAATTACATAATTGATGGAAATTGATGGGAATTATGTCAATTTCTTCAATGGTCTGGATTGCTTCAGAAACACCAGCTTTGTTATTTGGGGATGAAGCATGAAGTACATTTTGTCTGTTGTATCCTATGTCTACCAAATGGGTGTCTGTAAAATAAAAAAATTATTAAGTTTATAGTCTGTGTACTGGTGATTTGGGATGCAGTTCTGAGTGTGCATGGAAAACCTAAACCTAGTCAACAGGCTTGTTTTGTCTATCTAGTCCTCTGAGAAAAGATGCTGAAAGAAGGAAAACTGTAATAGCAAATCTCTCCATTAACAGAACTAACTTCTAGGGCTCAAATGCACAGAGCATATCTCAAGCATTAATAGGCTGCAACAGTTAAC